TTTGTCCTTTGTCCCCCTTGTTCCCCTTCTCCAGTGATTATTTTCATCATTATTGTCCAGCTTGCTTGCCTCTTTGCATTTAATTGCATTATAATCATAACCTTAAATTGCAAGATTCACCCTTGTTGGTGTTAGACTGGTGGCAGCGGATAAAACCCGTTTGCTCTACTGACGTCTAGCCCCTGGTTAGCTCAGTTGGTAGAGCGCTCCACCTGTAATGGAGAGGTCTCGGGATCGATACCCGGACCAGGCGGACTTTTTCGGTCGCGCGCCAGTCACCTAGCTGTGTTTGGAGATTTGTGTTTGTCCTTTGTCCCCCTTGTTCCCCTTCTCCAGGGATTATTTTCATCATTCTTGTCCAGCTTGCTTGCCCCTTTGCATTTAATTGCATTATAATCATAACCTTTAATTGCAAGATTTACCGTTGTGGGTGTTAGACTGGTGGCAGCTGATGAAACCCGTTTGCTCTACTGACGTCTAACCCCTGGTTAGCTCAGTTGGTAGAGCGCTCCACCTGTAATGGAGAGGTCTCGGGATCGATACCCGGACCAGGCGGACTTTTTCGGTCGCGCGCCAGTCACCTAGCTGTGTTTGGAGATTTGTGTTTGTCCTTTGTCCCCCTTGTTCCCCTTCTCCAGGGATTATTTTCATCATTCTTGTCCAGCTTGCTTGCCTCTTTGCATTTAATTGCATTATAATCATAACCTTAAATTGCAAGATTCACCCTTGTGGGTGCTAGACTGGTGGCAGCTGATAAAACCCGTTTGCTTTACTGACGTCTAACCCCTGGTTAGCACAGTTGGTAGAGCGCTCCACCTGTAATGGAGAGGTCTCGGGATCGATACCCGCACCAGGAGGACTTTTTCAATCGAGCACCAGTCACCTAGCTGTGTTTGGAGATTTGTGTTTGTCCTTTGTCCCCCTTGTTCCCCTTCTCCAGGGATGATTTTCGTCATTCTTGTCCAGCTCGCTTGCGCCTTTGCATTTAATTGCATTATAATCGTTACTACTCCAAGTACTAATTATGGAGTAACCTCATTAAAAGATAAACAACCGTGCTTTGAAATAAGCTTGAAGGTGACAATATTAACGTTACTAAAATCAAAAGATGTGCTACGTGATACGTTATTAGAAAAGGAGTAATAACGACTTTTTTGGAGCTAATCGATGTACAAGGTATAGCAGCTTGTTCTTTGCTTGTGTTGTCTCAAATGTTTCTGCTGCTTTTCTTCCACACGGGCTAGGGCCTCCTCATACTGCAAGCCATGAAGCTGTCTGTCCTAACTCCCTATTTTGTATATAATAAAGGAAAATAACAAGATTCTTAATATTGTATAAATGTACACTTCTTTAAAACGTTTAGTAAACGTAAGTAAAATCAAAAGCGGTACTTAGATTTTCATTATAAATGTCGGATAGGTCAACGCTCAACCTGAAATGTTTGAAACTAATAAAGCGCACCAGTGTCATTTTTAGGAGATCTACGAGTATTATGTAATCACTGCTTCTGCATCATTACCAAAGCCGAAGCTCTTTATGATCGCCTGATATAAAAAAAATGAATAAATGAAGGACTGAATCATTGACTGATGTTAAGATATTTCCAACCTGCTGAAACAAGCATACTTTTTTTTATTCAATAAATAAAGCAATTTATATCATGCTTAATCTGCGAGAGTAATATGTTACTTGTTTAAAAAATCACCATACTTGCTTGGGACTACTTTATGGTTTCCTATGCCTTACATGCATACATAGTTTACATACATAGTAAAATAGCACCGTATTTGCTCCAGTAATAGCCGCGATGTTTATGAACAAAGCATCTGCATCTGCTCTGCCGCGGAGCAACCGGAACAGCGAATCACTGCGATCGGCAGTAGTGTGGCAGTCATTTACGGTACAGATACAACATAATCATAAACAAAATGCTCTCTGCGCAGATTTCCATTTTATGGAGAACCGCGTCCTCGACCAAACTATTCCCCACTTTTTTCACGCAGAACACGATGATCGGTTGCTTCTGTGTTCTGTAGAAAATAAAACTCACGGGCCTTTTCATGAGAAGTACGGCTATTACTTGTTCAGATACTGTAATAAAACTTTTATGTGCAGGTCTATGGACTGTCAAAATCCTATAATATGATAATTTTTAAATTTTAAAGTATTTTCTATAGAAATGAACCAGAGCCTGTTGAATATTTTCGATGATTATTATAGACGCTCTTCTAAATCCACCACGAGCGTGAAGCATGCATATAGTAGAGATTCGTAAAAAACTATTATATTCTGACCATTCAAAAGGTTCAATAATATTTACAATATACAAGGTGTCCTTTTTGAGCTTTTCACATTTCTTTCAAAGAAAGCCGTAAAATCTACACTAGTGCGGTCTACGCACGAAAGTTATAGGGCATTGGCACATATAATAGGTCACTAAGCGTAAAGAGATATCTAGTCAATCACTGAAATATGTTAGGTAACTTTTCAGTTTGAAAAAAAATAGGCCCATTGTTTCACTTAGAAACTTGATGAGCGCCCTTTAAATATATTAAACCATTAAATTTTAAGAATATTTGAAGCATGCGGAAAGCACAGCATCACGGTCGCCTTCCACCATAGAGTCTCGAGAGTTGATATTGCCTCGGGCGTCGCCGAGCGGACGCGTGCCTGACCCAATGGTTGCCGTGCTTGGCTTTCGCGTGGAGAACCCATATTGATTCCTGGGAGCGGACGCTTCTCTTATTTATCCTTTTACTAAGTCTTCGCATAAGTTAGAGAACCTTGTCGTCATATCGAGCTACGAATGTTCTACGCCCGAACGTTCTACGCCGAATGCTTCAGAAACCTAAATACAAAAGGTGCTCCGCGTTCCGGCTATGGAGGAGTATCGTTCTTGCGCTCGAACCTGCTGCTACGCTGACTTGGACGCACATGACGCTCTGTTGTGATGATCTGTTTTCTTATTTGTGTGGCACAATTCACCCCCTTAAACAGATCAGTTTCCTCATTTATTCTTTGTGTCCTCAACCCGTCATCCGCGATATTTTTGTAGAGGGGCGGAGTTACGCAGCCCATGACGCGTACCCACTCGTTACCTCAAAGCGCAAGGCCAGTTCCCGGCTCAGAAAGACCGTCCGTGAAGACTGCTGTGACCCGAGGAAACCGCCTCACCAAAGACCAAACCGTAGTAGAGTAGACAGTTGGGCGAGTTGGTAGTTACGTGTTCCTCTTCTCTGTCCTTGTCCCTGTGTGCGCAAATGTAACTATGTTCAAAGACCAAACCCCCGAATTCAGACTTCCGCTGGACAAGCCCAAGAAGAGCAAGACGATGACGCCGCCGGCTTCAATTGCCCCATTCGTCGTCGTTATGCCCATCGCACTCCGGAAGCCTTCTCCCTTCCACGGCGACGTCTACGAGGACATGGGGGTACTTTATCAATCACTTCGAGCAAGTTTCTCCACAATCGATGGACGCTTGAGCAGAACCTTCAAAACGTCTACTTTGTCCTGGAAGGAAGTCTCGGCAATCGTACGAGAACCAATCAGTTCGTGGGAACAGCACAATGAAAAAATCCGACGCAACTTCGGAAGCCAGCAGCGACGGGAACGTGCTGAACAGCTTCTTCTGGCCTTGGTTCAAAGACCAAACGAAAATGCCGCAAGCATTGTGGACGTTCTCCGACTCAGCGACCGCGCCGATCCTAAAGCACCCTGAACGAATAACTTGCGAATCCTGACGCGCAGCGTCAAAGAGAACATCTTTGGCGGCCTTCCGTGCTATCCACTTCCAACCCTTCAATTGTTTTGTGACGGAGCGACCAACGTTGAAAGGGCCCTACAACTCAGACTGGGGTAACGATGACGCATGCGAAATGCGTAGGTCTCCAGATTAGCCGAACTGGAAGAACGTTCTGAGGGTAATATTTGAATGTAACCCGACCGGTCATTTATATTTGGTGGGTGACTTCAACATAAATTCCATGAATTCATTACGAAATGACGTGTGTGATTATTTTACCTTTGAGCAACTCATGGAATCAAGAGCGTTTTACACCCCCCCCCCCCCCCCCCCCAACTTCGTCAGCAATTTTAGGTGACAAATTCGCATCTTCGTCTATCGACCACATTAATTTTCGTATTTTTGTCGAAACAATAAAAAGGACCGTGATATTGAGAAAATTTGACGGTTCATTATTTCATAGTTTGCCAAGTCACAAGTTGCACTAGCGCTAAAAAAATAACTATCACGGGTCAAGTGCAGTTTGATAAAAATAGTTACCGACTCCAACACTAATGGTCTTCCAACTTCCTTGAATGTACCAATGCTGTACAATGCAGTAATATAACCATTTTTTCAACTTTTGTCTGTTTGCAAAAAGAAATTTCACTAGAAGGCGTAAGGTCATTCCGAATAGATTACACCCGAAATTTGTGTTGCTTCAGAGTATAACGACTTTATCTGGAGAGGCTGCAAGCGTTCGCCAGGAAATGTAATTCTAAAGAGCGAGTTTAAAATTGCGAGGAACAAGGCAACGCATTGATTCGTTCGTTCGTTCGAAACATTTTTTTTAATATATGTTGTAAATAAATGCTCTATTCTATTCTATACTATGCTATTACGACTCCGTTCTTTCGACGCTTTGAAGTGGCGGCGGCGTCGGCGAGACGACTTTAGACGACATTTTCACACCAAAACAAAACCACTCCCGTTTCTTTGGACCGCCTACAGGAGGAGTTAGCAGTGCTCGCCCAAACAAATTTTGTTGAGCCCTTACCAAGCTCATTCGACAACGAATTAGTCGACTCAAAATGACTCAGTAAACATTCCTTCTTTCAGTCTGAAAAGAATTGTGCGCGGATACGCAGTGGCCTCGGTGAATCATTTCTGTACTAACCATTAGCGTCAAAACGTCACACTATGACCTTCCATTAAAACCTCATACTTATATCTCATCTTGCTCTGGGCGTAAAAGAGTTCCTTGGCAGGAAAGGCTTACCTGAAGTCCCAGAACCGTCTGTCATCTCGAGAGAGTTTCATGTTACTTGTGTATATATTACCCCGAGCATTTCCCAGCCACACGTCGTATCCAGCGTCTGCGAGAAGGAATCCTAAAAAAAATATATTAAGCATGATTTACGCATCCGTATTTTCTTTTACTTTTTACACGCAGGTAATACGACATCAACGGAAAATAGTTAAAACCACTTTATTCAGAGTAGCATTAAAACAATATTATTAGTTCTTGAATATAAATTTATAGGCGAATAAATCTACCATGGTCTTTCTTATTTGAAAAAAACTCTAAAATATATTAGCTGCACAAATTAATACAGGTTTTTGGATGAAAGCAATAGAATGATTCGTCCAAGGTGCGATGGAACATAAAGTTCGAAGTAACTGAACTTCAAACTCACTTCGCGCATTCAAAATAAGGGTATTGTTCAAAAATTAGCTGAAGCAGCACTTTTTTAATTCCTTTCGTCGGGCAGGAATAAAGTGGGCAGGAGATCTGCTTGACCGACTAGATATTTCTAGAAAATCTAAAGGCGCGTGCGGCATGGATGTCACACGTTTCATTCTAAATCGTCAATCACATTTCGAGATGGATGTCTAGTCTCTTATATATAATTAAACACCCTGACGTTTGCGACTAGGATTAGCTTCCACACATCGTAGCGTTACAGAAGCCTAATAATTGGTTAACTAAAGAAACTCAATATAACTTGCTTAGTGTGCGTTGTGTGAATCTTGCGTTTGTCGTTGTATGCCCTTTTACAAGCGCTGTATTAGGCTAAAAATATCGCAAATGCCGCTTGCTATTTTTATATGTTTCTATAAAAATATAAGTTATATTAGTATATATTTTATATACGAGTTAATATTAAACATATTTTCAAGGCTGGAATACCCTTTTTTCTGACGGAGTAGTTCTTTTTTACATTTTTTTTATGTTATAAGTATAGGCGCTTTCTTAACGGGTAGAAATCATTAAATATACAATGCTACGCTTCAATCTACGTCTGTCTGCCGCCAGCGCTACAATCCGTTGGAGTATATCAAGCAACACCACAACTGAATCGTCATTGCGCTAATCGTCATGCGCCATTTTTTTTGCGCAGTTACGCAGGAACGTTTTTCTGTTCACAGAACAAAAAAAAAAAAAAAAAGATCTCAGGAACTTAGTGTGCACTTTCTGCGTAATTGGCCTAGCCGATGATAGCAAACAGTTGGAAGACGACGAGAACCTTGACTATGCATGTATGATGGTACTTGCCCAGGGAGTACAGATTTTATGATCGGACCTTGTTCATTGTACAAGACTTTAGTGCCTTATAAAAACCAAAGAAGCCCAGGCAGAACCAAACCTGACTTTCTTTGACCAGAGTCTGGGTGTATTGGCTTTGATTCGCCCAAACAAGTGCCAGGCTTCAGTTTCACCGTTGGTTCGTTCTTTCAAACGTTGCATCTTTGGTTCAGGTATGGCACTTTGAAAATTATTGCCATGTAATTTAAGCAAGAAATTTTTGTGAGATTCAAAACTCTGCGATTAAAAAAAAAATGTTGTCGCCATTGCCGTAATGTTTGAAAGTCTGTACGTGGCAACTCAACGCCGTATTTTTGTTCTGTGCATTGCTTTATTATGGCACAGTGTACAGGTACAATGAGCCATGTGGTCTCGCGCAGGTGACTGTATATCGGTAATGGACTTATGATTTTGAAGCTAGACATACACACCCGTATTCACCAGGCGCGAGAAGCGCCTGTTTAACCACCGACTAGCGACGTCGTCGACTAAAAAGTTCACGTGGCGAGCGATAGTCGAAGCTAAGTGAGCGCTTGGTATTCACCGGTCGTGTTTAGGGCCTAGACGCCTCGCGCGACTAAGAAGTTGACTAACAAATCTTAGTCATGGGGTTGGGCTAGTTTAGCCGGTGTTTAGCGGGTGACTAGCGGCTCAGCGCCATGGCCGACTCGTATCACCGCTGACCGCCAGCGCTAACGAACCACTTACTCTGTCTCGGAACGCTAGGGGACACATATAGAAAGAATTTGAGGAGCAAATATTGTGTAAATATCAATGTTCAACGGCGAGAGATGCCGCTAAAGCGATCAGAACAGGGCGGTGGACGGCGAGAAAAAAATGCATTTACGGGCGCTTCTTTACTTGTTTATGTCGCTGGCAGTGCGGCTTCCGTATATCTTCCTTGAGTTTCTTTTAATTTTCGTTGTAAAACTCTGTCTCGGGCAATTAGTCTCTCATTGTAATGTTTTTTTCTTCATGATAAATGTTTAAATGTTAGTTATTATACGGTAGAATACCCATTTACGCCGCGGCGTTTAAGTACGCGTGCGCGTGACGCATCTTTTTATGTCACTTCCGCAGGTTAGTTCTGACTAGATAGTCGCCCGCTAGCTTCGCGCTCGTGAATAGCGCAGAACTAGTCGATGCTTAGTCGCTGATTTTTTCTCTTAGCTCGCGACTACTCAGTCGCGATACTAAATTTAAAACAGCTCTAGTATAGTCACGACCGGTGAATGCGGCTGACTGTGTTATAACGCCCTTAAGGATAACGTAAATAATCTATTGTTACGCAATAACAATTCATTCTTTAACATCTACGTCGAGGCAAACTTTTCAGTTCTTTTTATCTTTTGATTTTGTCAAACAGTTTCGCCTCTACACTCTAACGCTGCCAGATAAAACAAAGCGAAATTGGTCCCGTTGGCTTTTAAACAATACTGATATTTTGAATGCGGGAAGAAGCAGGCTTAAGGCCCAGAGACTTCAAGCCTAAATTTTCAACGCGTTTCAGAAAAAAAGAAAAAAAAAAACGACATATAGAAACAACAGTATTACTTTATCATTTTTTATATTTGTCATAAGTTATCAATGAATAAGCATTGATTTCAAAACTTCTCTTTTTTTAGGAATGCGTGCCAAAATACATACGAGAAAGTGTAAAACTTCGTGCAATCTATTTTTGTTTCGCCAATACTAAAATGTTTCTGAGGAACGAATCACGTTTAAGTCTACACCAATCTTGTAACCTTTGTAACTTATGCTTCATGACTCAATATATAAAAAATAGCCTAATGCTTTTCATAATCGCGTTGGCTCAGACGACACGTGCAGGTTTAAGCCGTAGCGTGGGAACGCACCATGCCACTGCCATGGCTTCTAGACAATACGGATCATTCGAGCACCGAGAGTTCGCCATTCATATTTTGTTTTATATACCGAATACCCTTTCCCTTTTGTCAACACTCATGTTTCTTCTTGTTTTTTCATTGGATCAGCGATGCCATAATTTTAACCAGTTTCTTTTTTTTAAGCGCATCTACGTGAATATTGTATATTATCTTTACGGGACGACATCGTTTCAACATAAAATAATACGACTTGCTTTTTTTTTTAAGAATGTTAATAATCTTGCTGACTGATATTGGAGCTTGAATGGATGCAAATATCTTGGCACTAGTAATGGAGACAGAAAGTTTTATATAAAAAACAATATGTACTCTTGGGGAGAATTCCGAAATGAAAATAAATGAAAAAAGCAATCGTCACCACTGACATAGCCTTAAATCAGTGTGAAACCCTTGTTAACCACGATAAATGTAATATTTACCCGGCTCGGGTGTATCTTCATTACTGCATACGTATTTTTGTAGTAGCTGGCAGGTTAAAAAAAAAATCTCAATACGAAAATTACAAGAATCACAGCATATTATTTCAGCGATGTGTCAAACCTTCTTTGCGAACTGCTGTTATCTACTCATGTTTATTCTTAATTGGTTTATTAGAAACGTGTTTTTTTCATACAAATTAAAACTGTCATAGCTCGGTGTAACTTTCTAACTGAACAACCATCATTGCGAGTTTTTTTCTGTGTTTCTATGAATGGAGCATAACAAATATGAGGCGCAACTTGAACCGTTTAGTCCTAAAACTTAAAATGATTGAATTTCAAAAATGTAACATAGGGGTTCTAAGTTCTCGGATGTCATTTTAGTATCTGATTTGACATTTTTAAGTTGTGTGCTAGCGGAACTCAATTGGTCCTCTATAAGGCGGATGTGTTTGTACTCGTGTTCGGATTCATTGAAAATAAATTCCCAATGAAGCAATGTTTTGAAGCTTCACCATTTACGCGAAAAACGCAATTCAGAAAAAAAGACACTTCTTTTGAAGCTGAATTTGTTATAATGATTTTCCTCGATTTATTTAAAGTTACTTTCCACGATTATAAATTTTTAAAAGCTAACTATGTTTTTCTAAATATCGCATATCATTTTAGATGTAGCAGAAGACGCACACTAGCACGTCTCTTGCTTTTGTAAATAAGCAGTGCTAGGTTACGTTCCCGGTGAATTATACAGATGGCGTCACCAATCCTCGTCCCATGTTGCCAGCTTCCGACGTTTCAATACCAATGTGTTTCTGTGTCGTGCTTAGAGCCGCCTAACGCGGCCTTCTCCGGGTGCGGGCTGGACTCGGCACATTATTGCTCCGACACGTTTTATTGTGTTTAGAAGTTACTACGAGTCATCTAAAGTTTTATTCCAAATGAGCTGGAGGAGTGTTCGTAACGTGTGTGTTGGTGAAAAAAGCGAGTTCTTCTTCTCTAAAAAAAGAAGATATTCGAGAAAACAAATGTAGAGAGCATCGTTTATTTTGAAGAGTAGCGCAATGATGTGACGTCAAAAAAACTATAAAATATTTAAAAATAGCAGAAAAATGACCCTGAGAAAGGGAAAGCAGAAAGTAAATAACAAGGAGAAACGCTGGGAGTTCAATATAGCACGGACATACGTGCACAAAGATATACAGACAGACTTGGAGATAGGCGAGATATGCTGCCCTTGAGTTTGAATAAATTATCAGGCACCTTCATAAACTAGGAACTTCCAGCGTCGATTATAGCACTGCAAGCGCAATTCTACTCTAGAGAAGTTTCTGAACCTGTTTACACCATTAAACTTTCGCTACTTGGTCATGAGAGTAAAATTGAAAGCGGCGCAGTCTGCTCAGTAATTTGAGACGAAACCTGATTGTTTCATTAGATCTATTTTTGTGCAAGTGAAAAAAATAGTTTCACAAATGCTT